GATGGCAACACTTGTACTAAATCACCAATGAGCCAACTACGAGTACCGCCCGTCTTGCCCGTTTACCCGTTTCTTTGATTTACGAAATATTTTACGTTATCTTATTTTGCTGTTACTAATGTTAAAAAACATTATAAAAATTATAATGTTTATGATAAAAATAACACTATCGATTTTCATTGCACTAGTGAAAAATACGTTTTTCCCGCCATTTCAAATCAGGCGCTGGCAGAGCCATCTATCGGCAGACTTTTCACGAAAAACATAGAAAGTGGGCACAGCATTTTCCCCATTTTTTGTTCATTTTCCCTGGTGCCATTGGGTTAAACTGCAACATACCTTATGGGATGCTTGTTGGATAGCATGAGATCTGCTTCCTGAAAGCTATATGTTGTGTGTACTTAGAATAATTTAGTATGAGAGTATGGTTCTTCTGGGGTCCTCCACCTTTCCCTTCACAATCCCCAAGCATCTCCCTGGAATACCAATACATGTGCCGTAACTGCTTTATAAATACCTGGTTTCTGTGTGTCATTGTCAAAGTTAGTGGGGATATTGTGGGAACATTTTATAATGGTTCCAATTTTACCAAGTTATACACACTTATTTAAAGTTTGGAAGTTAAGCTTTAGACTTTGGGGGTTATCATTTTTGGGTACCCCACTTGGGATGAGGTTTTCTGTTCTTTATCCACACTATGTTAATCTAGTATCATTAGGAAGTGTGATATCCTTTTGTCTTTATATTTTATATAAATAGATTAAACATTGTGTTTTCTGTTATTTCTTGCATGTGTTATTACATTATTATCTAGAGTTTGGTAAATGAGAAAACATTACAACAATTCATTTTGGGGGATGAGTGATCAAATTTCTAGAAACAAAGGAAATGTAGAAAATACTCCATAGCTGGACAGAAAAGAGAAAAAAAGACACCTATATTACTTTCTCACATTATTTCTCCTTTATGCTAACCATTTTTAGCTTTTATGAAATTTTATTTAGTATCACTTTATTTTATTCATTACTTATTTCCTGTTATTTGTTCCCAGACCTCATTCAGCAGACTGACTGGCACCGCATTGCAGTGTTTAAGCCATACCTTCGTGAGACAGTCTACCGCTACCTGACCAAAGGCCAGAGAGTGATGGTTCAAGGACGGCTTGGCTACCTGGAGCGAAGAGACCCTGAAAACAACTCTATTGTCATGAAGTCAGCGACAATTGTTGCTGATGATGTAGTTTTCTTTAATAAGGGGGAGGGTAGTGGTTATTAGTATTTGTAACAATTAGGAAGAAAATATGAGATGTAATAACTAGTGATGTGAAATAATTTCTTAATCAGTTGCTTTGTTTCTGAAAGAGAATCTACAGCACTGATGTGACTCCTTTGGCAGCTTTTCATATAATCCATCTTACCTGTCTTTGTCAAGTTCTTTGTCACGGAAGGATGTTAAAGAAATGAAACCAAAGATGTACTGGTCTATTTGGAGAAAAAGGTGATAATAAAAGCGAAATCAAATTTGTTTATCTACCTTATCTATTGGTCTCGTTTTTGTTTCAAGTTTAAGATTATATTTCATGACATGAGAAATGCAAGAAAAGCTGTATATTGTAAATATCAGCAAGTGTTCAAATAATTGCATCTATTCATGTTTTAAACTTGATACATCTATGACTGATGATTGTGAGAATCTAGATTTCTCTTTTTGTCATTTTGGGACAGACCATCATAAAGTGACTTTCTTACTTTCTTTTATTACTGAAAAAAATGTAGTCTCTGTTTAAATTATGAATTGAATTAACAGGCTAATAGAGGATTTAATTGTAAAACTGAAATATGTATTTTTTTCTTGAGCTAATGTGAGTCAAACAAGTTATACATTTGAAAAAAAGGCACAACTAAGGCAACCTGTAATATAACTGCTGTGCCTTCCTTGTTTAAGAACATGTATATATTATCAAGGTGTTGAAATACAGAATAGAAGCTTGTGTTACTGCTTATAAGTGATATTTAAAGTTGGCATAGTGTGTTATCAATTTGTAGCATGTATGCTCAAATAATAACCAAGGAATTTTGGTTGTTAATGCTATATAGATGTCTTTTGTATTACAGTTGTTTGAATAAACTTTAGATAATAATCGGAAGTTTTGACTTGCTGTTCAGATGGGAAAATCAGAAAGTAAATATATAATGTTCTGGATTGGACATTGAAATATACTTTGAGCATTTACCATGGCATTTACAATAATAATATGGTTGTTTATTGTAGAAACATGGTAATGATGAAACTGAATCTAAGCTTTTTATAAACTAATTTGCAAAAACAATATATTGAAAATGTATATCAGCATATGTAATAACCCAAATAGTCTTTGAGTAATTACAAATGAAAAGGTATAGACTAGAGAGGAAGACAGGGACCCTTTGACAGAACCTCTGACATTACTGCAGAACTATTAAGCAAAGAAAATTGCCAGAGGTCACAGTGGCCAAAGAATGGGAATGAAGGAGATTTCAACTGATCAGTGCACTCCATGAACATACCTTAGGCTGAGTGATAATCTGCTTTCTCAGTTATAAGCCACAGTGTTCTAATAGCCTAATGGCTAGTGTTCAATTTTATAAATATTCATACAATATTTCTCTCCTCTTTATTAACCCCTTGGTGCCGGGTATGACGTGTACGTACGTGCTATGCCCACTGTGAGTACTTGTTTGATTGTTTTTACGCATAGATGGCAACACTTGTACTAAATCACCAATGAGCCAGTTACGAGCACCGCCCGTCTCGCCCGTTTAGCCGTTTCTTTGATTTACGAAATATTTTACGTAATCTTATTTTGCCGTTACTAATGTTAAAAAAGATTATAAAAATTATAATGTTTATGTTAAAAATAACATCATCAATTTTAATAGCACTAGTGAAAAATACGTTTTTCCCGCCATTCAAATCAGGCGCTAGCAGAGCCATCTATCGGCAGACATTTCACGAAAAACATAGAAAGTGGGCACAATATTTTCCTCATTTTTTGTTTATTTTCCCCGGCACCATTGGGTTAATTAGTGAGCACAAATTATCAGTACAATTTCACCCCGCACAAACAGGCAGAATTGTTAACTAATTTGAAAATAACAAAAGGAGTGAAGATATGAAAAACTAGTTGGCTGCAATCAAAAAATTATGGACTAATAAATCAAAACAATTGCAAAAAGAAAATTACTGTAGAAGAAGCAAAACCATCTTTCTCAGTTATCAACCTGTTAGAAGTAATATGCATGCTAGATATTATTTTAGTAAGGATGGATCTGGCTAAGGGGTTCTTTTGGTCTTCCTAGGGAAAATCCTCTAATCAGGTTAGTTTGCTAAACACATTTTAGGGGAAAGGCTGTCAGTAGAAATAATTGACAACACACTGCTTCATATGGCCTGCTATTTTTCATGGAAGAAAGTGCAAGTTAATGTTCATCCAAAGTGATGAAAGGAGACAATGAAAATGGGTAAAAATGCTAGTCATGTTCATCTGAAAAATATTACAAGTACCAAGCTACTTTTGTATGGAGAAAGTGATGCTCTGTTTTTTTTTTGACCACGGAATGATATTGAACATTTATGTTAAACGATTTGGAAATATTGCTCAACAAGATACTAATCCAGTGTTTAATAGAAGTAAATTTTATTAGGGTAAGACATGAATCTGTTATCGAATATAATGTACACCCCCAGTCATAAAGTTTAATCCCCTGGCCAGCATGTATTTCCAGACATAACCTTGAGCAAATGGGCCACATCTGTCGTCAACCAGACTCAGGTTGCTCATAACAGTGGATGGAGATCAAACAACCAATGTCTATCTTCTGAAACGAATTGGACACAGCTGTTTCGAGAGTCGGCTCTAAGACCGAAGTTTAAGTCCTTGTTTGGCTTCTGATTTGGCTGTACCTTTTAGAACTGTTCCCATGGTACTTTGAGCATTATTTCTTATTCCATAGTGTTTGCAATTCTCTGGTCAAATCTTGACATTTCTCCATTTCTCCTTCTAACTTTTCCGTGTTCTTGCATCTCGAAGTCAGCAGGTTTTCTTGTTCTTTATCTACAGTTGTACGGTCACGTCTTGCATCTTGCATCTGTTGATTTTTCAAAATTCTATGGTATTTGTTTTTTTTTCTGAACAGTTTCTGGTTTATGTTCACTCGATATTTTAAACTGATCGATTTCTAGCATCGTGCATAACTCCTAATGAACTCCTAGTTCCAACCCAGTCACCCATCCTTTTGTGACTTCGGGCATCTACAAATACATTATCATCTCTTCTCTTTGCTGATCTATTAGGTATAGTCTTTATATTATTTGCCATGAAAACGTTAGAGCCATTCCTATGGCATACCATTAGCTATATCCTCCATTTGTTAAGTGAGACGCCCATGCGTTGGTTTTTCTTTCCGGCTCTCCTTCCTTTCTGCTGCCCTGCTTTTTAAAGTCTTCAGTAGATTCTCGCATCGTCTTGTTGTTACTTTTCTTAACACATTTCCTCGAACCAACTAATGATATACAAATTCGCTCGTCGACTTTATTACATGCAATCAGCTAATATTGTTCCTTGAATGGAGAATTTTGCGAGCTCAGAGAAATTCTTAAACTCATTTGTTGTTCAATCCAGGACGAGGGCTGCATACGTGACGCTTACTCTTCTAACAATCCCATGGCTTTTTAAAACAGACATTCATATTCTTCCTTAACCCAATGGTGCCGGGGAAAATGAACAAAAAATGGGGAAAATATTGTGACCACTTTCTATGTTTTTCGTGAAATGTCTGCCGATAGATGGCTCTGCTAGCGCCTTATTTAAATGGCGGGAAAAACGTATTTTTCACTAGAGCTATGGAAATAGATGGTGTTATTTTTATCATAAACATTATAATTTTTATATATTTTTTTAACATTAGTAACAGCAAAATAAGATTACGTAAAATATTTCGTAAATTAAAGAAACGGGTAAACGGGCGAGACGGGCGGTGCTCGTAACTGGCTCATTGGGGAGTTAGTACAAGTGTTGCCATCTATGTGTAACAACAATCAAACAAGTACTCACGGTGGGCATAGCACGTACGTACACGTCATACCCGGCACCAAGGGGTTAAGACTCAGTGTCTGAATGACATCAACTGGCAACGATTGACGGGATATTCAGGATTTAGCGCGGAAGCTGGGGGCAGAATGTGAAATAAGGGGGCGCCTAGCACCGAAGGCGCGCAGCTCAGGCAGACGAGGTAGATTCACTCCTCGCGGCGATTTCTGACATTTGAAGGCCTTTTCCGAGAATTTTAATGATGATTAATACTCAAACGTAACATCGGTAAGACTCAGGAGAACTATGCTCTTACGGATATAGTAAGGAGTAAAGAGACATGCATTCAAATTTACTGGATATTATATGCCCATATAATTTTAGCCGATAGTTTGTTACCAATTTCAACAGTACCATGTTAATACCTTCACCAAAATTTTCGTACATTTCTCAATCTCATGTTGGGGCGAGGTCTATATAAGTACTTATATAGACCTTGTGCGGGGGTGCTACATGCGACGCCAAGGGAAAGGACCGGCCCGCGAATTCACCAATGAAATCCATAAGAGTTGGTAATTTTGATTTTTTCATTATTAGTACCACGTAATTATCATCCCAAGTTCTTCGTCAATATTTGAGCTAATCATCCAGAAACAAAATATATCAGTTATCATTCTCACTGCCAAATCATTATAAAACACAGACAATCTTTGTTGAGGTAGTGGCAGGGTATAAAAAGTAGAATGGCTAAAACTTTCCATAAACAATTTTCAAACCACTCAAAGTGAGCATGACCTACGGTGTAAACTAAACTGATTTCCTACAGCAACATAGTGATAGTGCAATATCAATCAATTACCGAAGGTTTATAAGCGCCCACCCCCTTTATCAACTCCCCCCCCCCCCCTTCAGAATTGTTCCGGATACGCCCCTGACAGAGATAGTGGTTACATTATCGCTAATCAGTGGAAAGTAAGCTAAGGCCCTTTGATTAAACAAAAAAGAATGCTTACACGTTGTTTTTACATGATTATAAAGTAAAAGTTTTCATTACGTTACACCGAATAAAGGTGTTCAGTTTGTAACCTTCTCGTTAAAGGGAAGTCTTTTATTAGTTTTGTTTCCTTTAGATTTCCCGCTCTCTGTATTCCCGCGGAACATAGAAAACGGGTCAAAGTAGCAGTGCCGCTGATTTTTGGGTCACTCAAGTATAGTGCTTTTGTAACTGTAAGAAACTTAAGAGATGTAAGTAGGCTATGTGCCGACAAGAACGATGTTAAAATAGGTCGGCGTTAAGATTTCCACTATTACTTCATTATGTCAATGTATATTATCACTTCTTATAAACCGGGAGGTGTGAAAAGGTAATTAAAGTAACTCACTAATTATTTGTTTTCTATTTCATACCTGTCGTTGTAAGGTCTCTCTCTCTCTCTCTCTCTCTCTCTCTCTCTCTCTCTCTCTCTCTCTCTCTCTCTCTCTCTCTCTCTCTCTCTCTCTCTCTCTTTCTCTCTCTCTCTGTTGACAATGATACAGCAAATGCAAAGCTTAAATATATCTGTAATTACCAAATAAGTGCAGATCGCCAAGATGGAGGAATGGTTAACGTCGTGGCTTGGAATTCCCAAGACCGGCGATCGAGACTGATCCATGCCAAGTGTGGATTCGCACGTAGGCCTACTTTTATTTTTCTTATAGAAACAATTCTGACAAAGATGATATATCAAAAAATCATCATGGTAGTTCATATAAACAAAAAAAGAATTTCAAGTTTCTTTAAACGCCATTCGGCAAAAGCGCTTGTATCGCTAACACGGCTTTAGTCATATATTTTTTTTGTAAAGAGGAGAGATCGGACTGGATTCAATCAGACCAACTGCTACTGTGTAAATCATGAAATGAAAAATATCTAGTGGACAAGGAGTGACTAAATAGAGATTTATAAATGGAGAGGTAGACTGATGTATAATCGGAGAGGGAAAGGAAGATAGTGTTCGCCATTCAGTATGCATTTATGCGCACTCAAGAGATGCAATTAATAATAATAATAATGATAATGATGATGATGATGA